CCAGATATGTTGTGGGGAAGGAAGTTAAAAAAAAATTTTCTAAAAAAATGCATCGAGAGGTTTCTCAAATTAAACTAATTAAAAGATTTATAATAATTAAACAGTGTAAGTTTATATATTACCAGTCTTGTTAATGCCTTTTCTTTTTGCTAATGATAAAAAAATAATAATTATTCATTTTAAATAATGTATTTAAATAGTTTAAAACATAATGGTATCTCAAGGCTGTTACAGTTTTGACTTTCATTATATTTAATAATTAAAATATTTATATTCTAAGGTAGATTTTTCCTTGATTTATCAAGTTTTCCTTTAAGGAAGATTTCTCGAAAATCAAGTATAATTAACAATCATTTTATCGGTAAAATTAAATTTTTTTAAAAGTTTTAATGTGATATTAGTGAAAAATAATTAGTCTATAAGTTTGTAATAATAAAATACTACATTATATTTTTTTAATGGTTGTTTAATTATAAAATTATATATAATTATCTTTGTAACATTGCTTACTGCTACAAGTTTATATAATGAAAAATTTATATATTTTAAAATTTATGGACTTCGACACATATATATTTTTTTACCATAAATAAAATTACTTTTTAAAAATATTTTTATTATTAAATTTCATCCAATAAATTAGTGAGCTAATTCCTACAAAGCTTTAATGTAATATCGTAATATTAGTTAGTTTATAAGTTTTAATATAATATTATTTAAAAATAATCATTCTTTTTATTAATAATTCTTTTAAATATTGATAAAGGAATTAAAATATAAGACAAGAAATATTAAACATATAGTGATAAAAGCCTTTTATAAAACCGTATTTTATAAATTATTTTATATATGTTTATATAAATAAATTATCCCCACTTTTAAAATATTAATAATAAATTATGCATAAATCGTTGATTTTTATAAAAATATAATTAGTTATGGTTTCCACATATTCGTGGTTGATGATCTGTTAAATCTGATTTACTCTTTAAGTTAAGCGTAAAATTTCTACTTTCATATTATAAAATAATATAACCCATTTTTTTAGTCATTTTTGGCCCTTGATTTCATAAATTTAATTTTAAAAAATAATTTACAAAGAGTTTAGGTTAAAAGTTTAAATCTATCAGTAGCTAAATGAGAATATAAACTTCTTCATGATGATTTTCATTTTTAAGAACAAACTGCAATTCATTGAGAGTCTAGCTCTAGTATAATATTTTTTTTCATATTTGGTTGTGTAATAAATATTTTATATTAAATTTGAAAATCGAATATACAAAATTATATTTCTAATAGACTTCAAGCATATTATGATGTTAAATATAATATAAATAATATACATAACCAGGTGCGTATCTGTGGGAGGGGACCGAAGTATAACATTTTTCTTTGAAAAAAATGTAAACATGTTTTTCTTGAACTTTTAAATATATTTTTAACTTAAATCAATGAATGATTAGATTTTCATCAAATATTGCTCTATCAAATTTATAAATATTTATACTTTTAGTGTTAGAAATTATTATTTTAGTATATAAATTTGAATATAAAATAAAATGTAATAAATTATTAAAATTGGCGATAAATTTTATAAAAGGTCATTCGAATATTATAATATATTATAAAATATTTTAACTTGAAATTATATAATTTTTTTAAAATTAATTTTATATTTTTATAATTACTATTAGTTTATTTAAATTTATTATAATTATTATTTAAATTTATTTTAATAATTATTTTATTTTAAATTTAATATTAAAAATATTTTTTTTAATATTTATAACAATCCCCTCTCTGAGAAATCTATTAAATATTTTATCGATCGTCAAATTTGTTATAGAGAATGAATTTATTTGTGATTTGTTATAGCGAATTAATCTTAGGGTTAATTTGTTGTTTGACGATCTTGTTTTATGTTTGTCAATAAGAAACATCAATATGCATTATATTATCATTGGCATATTAAATTCAAAGTAATTTTAATCTCCATTATATAAGAATAGGTTTTCGCCTGGGGTTGGTTTACATTTTCCTCATCAAAATTAGTTTACAAAAAAATATCATCCAAGAAATTTATATAATTGAATATTTCAATATCTAGTCCAAGAATTAAATAGTTTTCATCTATAGCTAGCCAAGTATCCATATGTTTTAATTAAAGTTTATAATTTTAATTTAAGAATTTTGATTTCCCTTTGTAAAAAAGATCTGAATTTTTTTTTTATATTTACTAATAAACTTTTAACTCTTCCACAATGTTAGAAATTCAGAAAGCAAGAAGGATTAAGAAAACTATTCTATTTAAATAAAATGAAGAATTATATTGTTTTCCTATATATAAAAAATTTCCATTTTATATAATATTATTTTAGAATATAAATTTCAATTTTAAATAAAATGAAATAAGTTAGTAAAATTACGATATATTTTATAAAAAATCATAAGTAGAAATCTCGGTATATTTTATAAAAGGTCATTTGAATATTATTATAAATTATTTTAATTTATTTATTATTTATTTTAATTTATTTATTATTTATTTTAATTAATATTATAGTTTATTTAAATTTATATTATATTTTTATTTATTATAATTTATTCAAATTTATTATAATTATTATTTCAATCTATTTTATTTTATTTCTATCTATTTTATTTTATTTCTATCTATTTTATTTTATTTTATTTTAATTCAATTTAACTTTAATTAATATTGAAATTTATTTTAACATCTACATTACTTAGAAATCCTAGCGAGAATATATTATCATGATATTAAAAAACTATAAATATAGCTCAATTTTATTCAAAAAATATGAATGTCTCTGAATCAATTCCAGAATTTAAATCTTCAATGAAGAAACAATTATTTTAAAATTGGCGAAATCACAAAGAATATATAATTTTATTTATGAAAGATTTAACTTTTATCATTTTTATAATGTTTAACTCTATATTGTGATTTACATACCGGTTCTAATATTTTATAACAATATTATATTCCTTCCAAAATATTTTGTACTTTTCGATATTTAATTATTTTATTTGAAATCTCCATTTTTTTAAACATAATTAGTTATAATAAATTTTATATACTGATTAGTTCTACTTTTTATTTTCCAAAAAATCATAAAAAAATAACACCCTCCCCCTTTCCACATAAAAAATTACTGGCTAAGTGCTTATGCTTAGTTTATATCTAATCTATGGCTATCTATTATACTATTTTTATAAAATACTAGCCTTTAAAAGATATAATTAAAATTTACAAATATATTGTTTTCCATTTTTTAACAAAATTAAATTTATATTTACTCTCTTAAATAAAATATATGAAAGGTATATTATTTACATATACTAATGATTAATGTATATTTAAAATATAATATATAATTGTTCATGGTTTTTAAAATAACCTCATTGGAATTTAGTAAAATTTAATATTTACTTAGTAAAATGGCTAAATAAAAAAAATTTTTTTTATATTAAAATACTATTTATCAAAGCTATCTATTTTAACAGGTGAATAAAGTATTTTTTATTAGTTTTAACAAATAAGAAATACCAGTAAAACTTTAAATTCCTTAAACCTGCTACAACTATTATAACAAGATAAATTAATCTCCCTTTTTCTTATATTTTTGTCTTAATTTTTAAGATATAAAAAAAACAAATATGAGGAAATAATGTAACCATAAAAAAATATTATTAGAAAAATATGTAATGGAACATTGATTGACAATGATAACAAAAGTAAAGTTATCGAAATATCTTAAAAATAAGAAAATATATATTGATTGATTAATTTCCATAATAACCTCAAAAAAAACGAATGCAATTCCATATTATTTTATACAGGGTTTGCCGTTGTTTTTAAACAGAAATTCTTATTATGAAAGAAAACAATATTTAAATAATATTTTTTTAAATTTAGTTCTCATTAAATTTTTACATCATAAAAAAATAAATTAACAAAATTTCAATGCCCATATTTTTACTATTCTTTCAAACAAATTCATATTTAAAACGAAGATTTAATTTAAAAAAAGTATTATATTTTTTTAATAAAAAATCAACTGAATATCTCTAAAATTACTATAAATAAAATTCTTTTAATGATGTTGGTTTGAAAGAATGACATCAAATAATTTTATTTTCTAAAAAGACCATCATTGTGTCATCTTGAAAACAATAAAAAGAAATTTGTTCATTGATATAAAAAATATTAATTAAAAATTGTAATCTCATCGGTATAATTAGTTGTTGGAACTTTGAAGGAACATATTTTAACGAATAGTATTTACTTTATACAAATATTTTTAAAATTAAAAATAAAAATGGAGAAATAACTATTAAATTAAAGAAAAGAAATAAATCTTTGTTTAGCCTTAATGTCCAATTAATTTATTATTAAACAAAAAAAAAATTCATATTTATTTAAATATTAATTATATGTTATAAATTAATATTTTTAAGATCATTTCAATTATTTTTTATGCAATACATATTGGTACACAAAAATATTTAAAAGGAATAAATTTACTTAGAAATTTTCTAATAATTTTATAGATATACAGCGGATTATTATTAAATAAATTATGAGATTAAGTGTAAAATATTATATTTTTTAATAAATGCTCTTTTTAAATAAAAATTTGTTCGAAAGAATGGTAGAGGTAATGATATTTATTTTATTTTTTTAAGATTTTCGGAGAACAAAATATAAAAAAGTTCCTCTTGTAAAACAGCGGCAAATCCTTTATATAGAAAATAAATGATCATTACAACAATTTAATACTTTAAAAACAAATTATTTCGCGTTTTTTTAATTATTTTAAAACGCAAATTGAAACGTCAACCAATTTTTAAAGTATCATTTAAAAATATATAATTTGAAAAAAAATATGCAAAAAACAAATATTTCAATTTTGGTGTACTGTTTAGGTGAATTATAAACAATTAACAAACATGTAAATTATTCTATAAAATTATTTTTAAAAATTTTCGGTTGAAGAATGATCTTATTAAACATATAATTAAACAAATAATAATCTAAAAATGTTTTATTTATGATATAATTTGTGTAAAATAATACATAGCGTTAAAATACTAAATTAAAATAATATAAAATAAAATAAAATAAATAAAATATTATATAAAAACCGAGGTGGGACTACAAGTTCCCAAAAAACATGTGTAGTTATATTTTAAAATTATGATTTGGAGGTTTTGTTTTAAGAAATAAGATTCTTTAGGTTCTGATGTAAGGGCTCTTATCTTATCCCCTATATTTTTTAAAAACTTTAAAGTTCCACTTGGCATATGTCCAAGGGAAGAGATGACAATCGGTGTAAAAATATAATTTGTGAATTTGGAATATTTCATTGTTTTTTTTTCTCGGCTATATCAACCGGATTAGAATTTAAATTTTTTGGGAAAGAAGATACGCATGTGAAGTCCCAAATTAAAGATTTCCCTAAAGACCAAGGCACGGAAGTTAAACCATCTGGTCTTAAGCCATCATCTAACGATAAATTTGTAGGCTCCAGGATGTTTGGTATTCGGGCCCTGGTAAGAGAACGGCTAATAGCTAAATTAATTGCTGCATGCCTTGCATGCCTGCCTTGACTATATATACAATTTAGACCATGTCTCCCTTTGGAGTCAACTAATGTTTTACATTTGATGCATGTATGTGGTTGAACAATGTTACATCCAAGTCGATGGCCTATGGCAACTCTTAATTGTTCATCTGATAAGAGGTTACCTAGGTTACGACTTGGTAATGCTTCCAACCACTCATAGCCACTAGTACAGTCAGCATTCTGTAATAGTTGAATATACTCCAAAGGGGGGTTTGATGAGATTATTTTAAAAAATTTTTTAATTAAAGGTTCGAAAAGAGATTGGTGTGTTAAGATCGTGGGTAAGACAGCTTCAGGTGGAGCTAAAGATGTCCAGGCTGTCAAGGCTGAGTTTAAAAGGTTATCTTTAGGAGAGATAAAAGAAGATATCATGGCGTTATTCATCAAACGCGATGCCAAAAATGAGGAAAGAGATAGAAGGTTTAAAGGATATAAATCTAAACCACCCATTTTCGAGGGTAATTGTGAGAAACCCCAATTAAAATCTTCCAATTTAATATTTAAAATATTTTCTAATAAACTTCTAAAAAATTCATGAACACGATTAATAATTTCATTATTTAAAAAAAAGGAAGAAGATCTAAAAATATGTACTATCTTTGGTAAAAATAAATATTTTTTTAAAAGAAAAAAGCTCTGGTGTGAAGGAATTTCGTTTAAAATAGTTTCGAGTCCTGATAAGCCTTCGAAAAATTTTTCCACGAACACCTCACAGTTGGAAAAACTGCTTAAAGGTGAACCTAGAAGATTAATTTCACTTTTTTTGATGATTTTAAACCCTTGGACTTTGAGAGTATTTGAATTTAAAAAGCATATTTCCGATTTAGCTTTATTTAGAGTAAGGCCTATGTTTAGAGAATTTTTCTCTATATAATCTATCGCTGCAAGAATATTTTTAGAAGGTCCGCAAATGGTACCATCATCTAGATACCATATGAATCTAAATTAAAAGAGGATTTTAGACAATGAACTAGGTTATGTATACCTAAACTAAAGATCAGAGGGCCCAAAGGGTCTCCTTGTTGAATACCCTCGTCAGAAGGAATTGTATATTCCCCGAATTTGAGAGGGGTTCTACAGCCATAAGACTGTTCAATAAATCTTGCATAAACTGGGAATTTTTCATAAAAAATGTTTAAAAATGTTTTTCTGGATAAAGAATTAAAAGCATTTTTAAAATCAAGCTTACAGACTACGGCGTCTGGAGGAGGATCTTCGATATATATGCGAAGAGAGTGAGCGGCTATTTCGCATCCCCCTTTAGTACCAAAGCCTAGTTGATATGTTTGGAACATTTTTGAAGCATCAGGTTTGATGCGCTCAACGATTATCTTAGCTAATAGTCTCCTAAAAAAAGACCCTATTGCGATTGGCCGAACTCCACCATCAGGCTTAGTAAAAGCAATTAATCTTGCGCCAAAAAGGATTTGGTGAATTTGACTGGGTAAATCATTGTTCAATATATTTTCACTAAGTATTACCAATGAATTTACAAATGTATCTTTATGAGGATTTTTAGGGTTAATTAAAAATTGGAGAGGGGCGAAAACCGTCAATTCCCCCTGCAGAGTTTTTATTAAAAGATAAAATTGTTTTAAATATAAATCAAACACAATATAAAAATTTTTTTTACGGTTTTTACGAAGTTCTAGAATACATAATTAATAAATGTAAATATATAAATCACTTTATCATTTTCTCACAATTGTTTTTAAAATTCTAAATTCCATTGAAAAGGGGTAACTCTTTCGTTTGAGATTACACTTATATTGACATTTAGGGAAATCTAACACCTACTAAAATTCTCTTGGGGAGGGATAAAAATACAAATAATTAAATTTAAACAATTGTTATCACATCAACCCTCAGAAACTTTGGTGAGAAGGTACTTTTTTTCCTGAAGGAGATAGGAAGAAAAATGACCCCGCTGTTCAAATTCTTCATTAATTTACATTTGTATTTTTATTAGTCATTTATGTTATTCTTTTTTGTAAAATGTTTTATTGGTATATGGAATTTTTAAATTATTTATTGAGAACAAATTTTAATTTGAAAAGTCTTATATGGAAATGTATTCCAACATGATAGAACATCCACACTGTGAATTTCTAAGAAGTCTCGAATATTTGATTTCTTTTTATACTATATCAATTTTTATTTAAATTTTTATATAAATTAAAAAAAATACAAAAATGTTTATGACGAAATTTGTCTGATTTTTATAAGATAGGTAAATCTACACATACTTAAATGCATTTGCGGTCAAATTAGATTTTTCAAATTTAAAATTTTTTTTCAGTGAGTGATATAAAATTTAGTTCCATGGATTACATATCTCAATGGCAAAGATTAACAATTAATTCAAAAGTATTGGCAAAAAATGGGTTTTTTTTAAATTTATTATGAGCAATTCATTTAAAAAATATTTTAATTTTAATTAAGTGAGAATAGGTCTACAGTGCTAGATAATCTACTATTTTGCATATTTTTGAAAATAATTTCTTCTAGAATATTTAAATTTAAAAATTCAAATAATATAAAATAAAATATTTAGTTTTCCATCTAAAGAAATTTTTGAAATTCACGATGTTCAAAACGGACAGGTTGAATATAAAACAACGGGTTATTATATTTACTATGAATTAATTTGGAATGGGGACTTATTTTAGATTCTCCAGTGTGATTTAAAATCTCTCTGCTTAAAAAATTAATGAAGACTATTTTCCTTCTAATTCAAATTTTGCCGTAAACTTTCAAACTAATTATATTTATTTAAGACTTTTCGTATAATTTATTACAATAGATTGAGAACGGACTCAATATTTATTAATAAAATTCTGTCCAGACATAGACCTGATTACCAGAGAGTACATAAATATTGATTATTTAAATAACATACCACATACAAGAAGCATATTTACTAAATAATTTTAAAATAAAAATATAATATAAAAGTGTCAAATTGAGCACTTTTTTTAAGTATTAAAAATGTTAATGATTGCATACTTAAACGATTCCAATCTTCCCCTTATTTATATCATATAATATAATTATTATATTGGTATAAGAGTTTATAAAAATATCTTACAAGTATTTGAAATAAATATATTTAAGGAATACTCTTCTATAACAAGATATTAAATTGGTGTAATTGAAAGATCAAATATAGCTAAATATTAAATAAATTCTTATTTTAACACACTCTTATTTAAGTACTATTAGGAGAAAATTAAAGTACAGAATTATGGCTATTTGTTTTATTGAGAACATAAATTAATTTAGATAGGCCTAAGATTGAACTACCAATATTTGATTTTAATTGTATTTATTAATAGATAGAGAGAATGCAATCTAGATTTTCTAATGAATCGACAGAATATATATAAGATTTAATTTTTTTGTCCTGTAAGAAGATAAAAAATATTTATAAAAGTTGCAATTTTATTTTGATTATTCATTTTAGCTAATTTAAGGAATATGAAATGAGAGAATACTTGTGTGTGATATATATCTTCTTATTACATTATTTCAAATTTATTTTCTTTTATGATTTTTCATTTTAATATATTTTACAAGTATAATAACTAATACCTTCATTTGTAACTTTGTTAAAATAATAATCAAATAATGCATATATGAAGTGGCGTTAGATAAGTTATGATAAATTGGTACGATAATATTTGGTGACACTTAAATGCTCATGTTAAATTTTTTAAAGAGGTGGAATTAAATATTTTCCCTTATATTTTAAAATCAGAGCGTTTAGGTTTATAATGAGCAATTACTATTTTTTCTGAGAAATAAAATTTAACGTTGGGTAATAAGAAATTTTGAGTTTTTTATATTTTTTCTGAGCATTAAATATTTATTCTATAAGAATTTTTTTTTTCTAGGCATTTCTGTTTTAATTCTGAGCGATGGGAACTTTTAAAATTATCCATTGAGAAATTAAATAAATATATGGGGCAACTTAATCTTAAAAAATTTACATTCATGAATTCGAATTGTATTTTTTTTTTAGAATTAACCAGTTTCAAGAAATTTACTCAAAATTAACTATTTTACAGTGAGGATATAAACACTTTATCTGACATGGTATATTGTCTTTTATGATATCTCATCAATTCTAAATAAATCGGAAATAAAAGAAAAGATATATAAATGGCTGGTTTAATAAGTTTCTTCTAAGATAAAGTCGGACTTGAGGAATATATTTTATTTTGGAGAAAAAAAACTACTATATAAAGCCAGAACAATAATTACTTTATTGATGGCATATCTTAACGAAGTTATTTATAAATTATAAAACGTAAACAGTTTCTTATGATAAATCTTTTCTAAAAAGAGAACAAGTTATTTTTTTTTACCAGTGTATCGAAAACCGAGAACAGAAAACCCAAATTTAAATTTTTTTACCCTACAGGAGCCCAAACCTTTTTTAAAAATCCGAACCCAACCCGGAATTTTTTTTGATGTGATTTTATAATATTTTTAATCTATTTAAATATAAACAATATAAATCCTTAAATATTGCAGATATTACTTAGTGATGATGATAAAATTTATGCGAAAAGGTATCGTGTTAATTTGTGGAGTAACATTAAAACCATATTTACGCCCATTTTATCTTATGATAATAGTTCGGATGAGATTATGAAACAATATAATTTAGAAATTAATATAATAAAATGAAAGGTAGGAGCAAATACTTAGGAAAGGACCAACAATTGCAGAAAAAAGTATTAAAACGATTACTGGATTTTGCGTAATGAAAAAAGATTATGGGAGTCTACTAAGTTGTAGCATCCTGATTTATATATTTTATCCATAATCTTAATTGATGTTCCTGCAATCCAAGTTAAGTCATCATATTTTCATATAAATATATTAAATTTAGGTTAACGTTGAAAGACCTTTTTTACATTTGAAATTCATTTTTTACCTCTAAGATTGAGAATGAACCAAACTCTTGTAAGATCTTATGCTATGAGGTCTATAAAACCTTTAAAATACATTACTATCCTTTTATTTTTAAATATAATTTGCCTATATATACAATAAATATTTTATTTTTTATAGCAAATTTATGTCTAGTTTTTTTTAATTATGATTTAAATATATGTATTTTTTTAAATATACATTAGATATTCCCGAACCATAGCTCAACCTGGAACCAAATCCGGGTTCAAAAATAATCCCCTAAATCTAACTTTTTATATTTTTATCCGGTTCACAAACTGACTAAGACATCTCGTATAACATTTTATTTTACCTCCTGAGGATTAATAAATACTTATAAATATTTAATCTTTGCTAATTGCTTTCCGGGATTATTTATATTATCTAAATGAAAATCAAAATTTTAAAAAGCCACAAATGGTCTCTTTTTTTTTAAATTTGAAAATTGAAACATAAAATTTTAGTTTCTAGTAAAATTTATTAATTTTCGATTACTTGTTAAAGCCAAATTAGCTAAAATTTATATAAAATAATTATCATTTATATTTATTATATAAAAATAATTCTGTTGATCCTGTTTATTATGTTCAATTAAAATATTGCACATTATAGAAATTATTGATGTTTTAAACATGGTGTCAAATTAAATCAAACCTTAAAATCGAAAAAGGCTGTTATATATTTCTGACCCACAATCATATTAGAAATGTTACATAATAATATTATGAAAGGAAATAAATCGGCTTATTAATTTATAAAGGTTTTTAAAATTATATTTATTCATTTTAAAATGATTGGCAAATTTTAAAAAAATTAATAGTTTAAAACTTTACTATGTGGTTATGTTATATTTACTTAAATATTATTTTTTATTCATGTTTTGAAATAAAATAGAAATTAAACTTTTTTCTTCAATTTCTAATAGTTATTATTTGTAAATTCTAAATATTATAGTTTATTTTATTCAAACCCTCTCAGAATAACCGAAATTATCTATCACACTTAGCCCTAGCTGTGCACAGTAACCTCCTACCCCCATCTAATTGCGTTTATTGATCTTAGACAATTGATAATAAAGTTCATCACCTTGTATAAATATTCTCTCGGAACCAAATCAAGCCACTAAGCTATCAACTAATAATTTGCAAAAATTAAAGGCCAACATACTTTAAACCATCTTTCAGCTCAACCCTTGAATGATAATATGGTCACTTTAAAAATATCCATTTGTTTGAAGGTCGGGCCTATATTTTATTGAAGATGTTATCCACGACGCAAAACTATACCTTATTTCTAAATACTATCAAATCAAGTATTCGAAAATTATTGTATAACTAATACTATTTTATAATCTTGAAAAAAAGTTTCTTACTTTAATTTAAGAAAATATACTTATTGTTCTATATTTGTGAAAATGTAAAATCTTGACATGTTGTTTAACTGGAAATAAATTACTAACAAAAATGATTAATATTAAAGGTGCCAAAGATTTATTTTAAGCGACTGGCATATTTACAATTAATTAATTTATACTTTTTCTCCTATGAGATTTAGTTATAAAATGATAAAGTCGTATTATTTGTATTACCAATTTCCAAGATTTCCGCTAAAGTGAAAAATAATATCACAAAGTGAAATAAAGAGTAATAATTATAATGATTGCGTGTATAATTTATTTTAAAACCTATTCTATTAAATTCAAGGGATCTAAACTTAACCTAACCGAACCATTTAGACACTATTAACCGTTTTATTAAAACAAAGTTATCTGATCATTAAATCTCATTCAAACCTGAAACTCTAGAAGGATCTATGAACCAGTTAATTTAGCCATTCGATAATTAATTATTATTAATCATTTTTAATGGATAAATATCAGCACAACTATTGTTATTAAATTTTGTATTTCTATTTGAAGGTTATATTATAATTTTATAAATAAAAAATATTATAATTGTACATAGCCTACAATAATTTATGAGAATTATTTAAAAATATGCTTGTCCTTTCCTAA